TCTACCGAAGGTGGGTGCTGAAGGCACTACATGGCCCTGGTTTAGCCACGTGCTCTACATTCATTGGCTGTTCATTTTGGTATAAACAGGAGTCCCCCAAGTCCCCTTTCGAGAGTCTTCGGAAGGGGATTTGAAGTTGTCTTCGGAAGAAACTATGGCCCTACCGTTCGGTAACCCGATCTTGGGGAAGGGGCCAGACCTTGTCCCTTCCGGCATTATCAGTTCAGAGGCTGACGTTGGCGAAGTCAGAAGGTCGCGTCGAGCTGACGGGTGAAGGGACGTCTGAGCGCTTCGACTTCCGCGCCTCGCGTGCCGTCTGTTCCCCACAGGATGAGCGACACGTGGCGCAAGTGATGATGGTGCGCGGCGCATTAATGCGCCGTTTGGTTTTTCGAGGAATACCGTTGCCACCCACCCCCTATAAATAGGGATGACCCCGGAGACGAATCCACTTTGTGTCTAGTGAGAAGTGAGAGCTCTGTCTGAGGCGATTTCCGACGAGGGCTTCCGGTAATCAGGCGATTTCTGACAAGTGTTAACGGTAACCAGGCGATTTCCGGCGTTTCGAACGGTAGTGAAGCATTTCTGAAGAGCAGGTCGCGCTTGATTTCCAGAGTACACACTAAGGTACCGTTCGGCACTCTTCCCTTTAATCTGCTGCATGCTTTAAGAATTACGTCCTTCCTTGGTTCGAACTAGACTGACCATAGGGTTCTATTCGGTAGTCTAGTCGCCATAGGTAGCGATGTAGGGATCGGTAGGATGGCATCTGGCATGAGCTTTAGTTTTCTTTTTTCCTGTTTTGTAGATGTCTGATAGCGAGTCATTCTCCGAGCGCGAGCCCAATGCGTTCGATGAGGAGTCATCGGACGGTCTCTTTGACTCCGACGGCGAAGCGGCAGGGCCCAATGCCGACGGCTGGAGTGATACCGACGTCGAGATACTCGGCGAAGGGCCCAGCTCCATTCCAACACACGGAGTCGGAAAGGGGCTAATGACCGCTCCTGTCCCGTTGTCAATCGTCTATAGTGACGACCGCCACGTGGGCCTCGGTATGCCTGGGGAGGCGAGCGGGAGCCGTC